TATTATTTTCTTATTTGTTAGGATTTAATCAAATACAAACATTGCTAAATGCTGTATTGAACCCTCAAAGACTTTAAAACCTGAACCAATAAGGAAGAACTTAAAATTTTGTCTAATCAACACATTTTCTACTACTACTTTTTTTCTTCTTTTCCTCTAACAAAAATAAGGGTTCAGCCCTTATATTGTTTGAATGTTCTTTTCCTTCTTTTTCTTCTTCTCATTAATATGTTGATTTTCTATACTTTAACATGAACTCTATACTTTTCTTATGAAAATTATGAATTATTATTAAGGAAATATGGTTATGGTACCTAGGGAACTACCCTAAGATCTATGTTTTCTACATAAAAAAACCATCGCCTAGGCGACTAGGCAACTAGGCAACCCTATCTGCCTAGCCTCGCCTTGGTGCCTTGAAAACTATGCTAACAATATGTGTATTCAAGAATTCTTTGAAGACTTCAAACAATTCATCTTTCACCACTTCCCAACAATCTTAATAGAAAACCATTGTAAAACCATCCGGACCTAGTGCTTTAGATCTATCCATAGAAAAGACTGCCCATTTTATTTCTTCTTCCTCAAAATCCCTTTCTAGCCACCTTGTTGCCTCCACTTCTAATAAAGGCTACTCTATCCCTTCTATGTTCAATCTTTCTCCAATAGCCTTCTATAAAACGATTTGAAATGGTCCACAAACACCCTAGCTATCCCATCCTAATTAGAGGTCACTTCCCCATTTACTTCTAGCCTAGCCGCAAAATTCTTGTGCCTTCTACCATTGGCAATCGCATGAAAAAGTTTTGTATTTCCATCCCCTTCCTTGATCCATTTATGTATTGACTTTTGTCTCCAACAGATTTCCTCCCTATTAATGACTTCTTCCAATTCCTTTTTCAACTTCCCTCTCAGCTCCCTATCTTCCACAGTAAGGTTTCTCTCCCTTGCCATTTCATCCAATTCTTCAATCTTAGAAATTAGAGTCAATTTCCTTTCTTCTATTCTTCCAAAATGTTCCCTATTCTACTTTATTTTGGATCTCAATCTTCGCAATTTTTTGTGGAATTTTATTCCCTCCCATCTTACACCCCTTAGATCCTTCTTCCACCATTCCTCCACTTTGTTAACAAATTTTGGGTGTGTCAACCACATAATTTCAAATCTAAAGGGTGAAGGACCATGCAAGAAAGATTCTAAACCTAACCTAATGGGGTGGTGATCTAAGGTGACTCTAGGCAAAGCTCAAAATATCAAACCTTCCCAATGATCTTCCCATCCTCTGTTGAATACAAACCTATCCAGTTTTGAACACAACGGATTTTCTTGAAAGTTGGACCAAGTGAACCTAGCTTACAAGAGAGGAATTTCCTTCAATTCACACGTCTATGAATTCATTAAATCTTCTCATACTAGTGGTCATTGATTGCCGGGAATTAGGTGTTTCATTGGAAAATCTTATCACATTGAAATCCCCTCCCAAACACCATGCACCCACCCTCAAACCCCAAATTGCATACAGTTCTTCCAACACATTCCCCTCTCTATAATTGTTTGGTCCATATATGTTAAAACCCAACTAAATCCATCCCCCACATTCTTAAACTTTACTGATACTGAAATTCTGCCAATTGGCTCCTTCATTCATTCCAACACTTCATCCTTCCACAGAATCACTACCCCTTGAAGCCCCCCAAGATGGAGCCCCAATCCATCTTATACCCCATGATCTCCGCAACCTCCTAATCCATCTTCTATCAAATTCTGTTTGTTTAGTCTCTCGCAACATCATGACATCAGGATTCTCTCTTTTTAATAAATCCTTTATTACCCTCCTTTTCCGTGTACTCCCCAATCCTCTTACATTCCAATTGATTATTCTCATACTTTCACCTTTGAGTTAAACCTTCTTTCTCCTCTCACTACCCTATTTGGGTTGTGTCCTTCCTCTCCTCCCACTAAACTCAATATCACCCTCCACAAGTCCACATCAAAGATTAACCCCTCAACTTTTGATTTTTTTTCTTCTTCATTTTTTTCTTTTTTTTTTCTTCACCCTTCCTACAATACATTTTCATCTTCCTACTGCCTTCCACCTTGTAAGCCTTCTGACTTTGTGTGTCCTCTCCTACAGCTGAGTAAGCCGTATCTTTCTCCTTTTCCTTTTTTATCCCCCCTTCCCTCTTTCTTCCTTATCGGCTTCTTGATTATTCTCCTCAGCTATTTCTTCATTCTTTTGAGGTCCTTCTCTGCTTCTCCCTTCCCTACTTCTTCTCCCAAGACTCCCCCTTCTTCTGCTACCCTTTCAGTTAGGCCTGCTGTTATGCCCCCTTCCTTTCCCCTCAACTCTTCAGGCTGGGAAGTTGGTGTATCTGTTTCAGGCAGAGCACACACATACCTGGGTCCAGTGCAGGTGTAGCAAGTTTCAAGAAATCAGAAAATCCCTGGTTGGGGGTCAAGGCATCAGACCTATCCCCTAAAATGGGTAGTTGTAAACTGGGAACAGGATCGGTTTCAACTCTGTTCCCTCAATGCAAACCTTCCTGATATCCTCTTGTCTCACTTCCTGTGCTCCCTGTCCTTGCTGAGAGCTTGGGGGTAGATTCCTTGTAATAGGAGCAGAGGCAATCTGTTCAACTTCGACTAAGCACACTGTCAGGCTCCTTTTCAGGAGCCTGGCTGTCTTCTTTTTCTTCCAGGGACAACTCTTCTGTGTTGAAGCTCTCTGCTTCATTCAAATCAATCCTTACAATTTGATTGATGCTACCCATGCTTGAGTATTCAGAGGACTCTGAGTCATAGTCTGAATCACAATCACTGCTTCCACCATCAAACTCTCAGTCTTCATCTTGACATCACTCCTTTCCTTTGCTACTGCATCTGTCTCTGTCAAATCTAAGGTTACGCTTTTCAGGAGATACAACCCTCTTCCCTTTGCTAGGTACCCATTGCATCGAGCTTTGCCGCCCCATCGTTGCACTACGGCTGCCTTGGATCCCTGACTTGATCAAGACGATGTCAGACATATTTTATTGTCTATCGTTGGGCCTCCTTTTGAAATCATGTGCTCTTTAAGATGACCATGTGCTGGGTCTTTTTGAGGCCCACGAATTGGGCCCAGCTTCAGAACCAACTATATTTCACCGTGGACCTCAAAGGGACAGGACCAGACCCAGTTTTAATCATCGCATGGTCACTTAAAGTGACACTTGCCATGTTCAACCAGTAAGTTCAGTCCAGTTCAAGGTTGAACTACCTAATGGCTGACCCATAGTCCTACTCAAATTTTGAAAAAGGGCCTCCTTCCCATGCCAAGCTCCACCAATCAGTTCCTCAGCGTAAGACCCGCCATGCGCCAAACCTCCTCCAATCCCTGAACTGTGCATTTCCTCCCCTGTGCCCTTGCCTTTTCCACTACCCAGCGCTTGTTTTGTTGTTTCAGAGTAACTTCCAATTGCATTACTTTTGACCATTTGGCTTTTGCCACATAGGAACTCTTCTTCAAACCTTTCGTCTTCCTCCCTTCTGGCAGCTCTCCAGTCTCCACAATGAAGCTTAAATGGCAGTTGTCAACCAGACTGAGTACACCAATTGATCGTCTGCAACTAATATTTTCCTTGGGAATTCCTCAGGTTTGACCCCACTCAAGCAAGCAAATAGCTGCCGAGTGAAGGTCTATTGCTAAGATGTTATCCAGCTTTGCACTGCACAGTAATGCAATTAATTTGAATCCTCTCCTTGTAACTAGTTTACTACCAATTTGGAATCTCCCTCAACAATCAGCTTCCTAATGTTCAAATCTATTGCTCTTCAAACACCTTCCACTAGAGCCAACACTTCTGTCTAATGGAGTCCCCCTCCCCAGCTGGTCCGGAGTAAAGAGCTAGAATCTTGCCCTCCTCATCTCTAAAAATCCCATTAATACCTGACATACCTAGATTTCCAAAAGTGTTGCCATCAAAATTAAGTTTAATGAACCCTCTATCCGAAGGGGATCAATAGTAATTGGAGAAGGACTTAGTTGAGCAGGAATCAGCCACTTCCTTCCACTTTCTAAAGAAACCATCCATTGACACGTTGGAAAATGTATCCAAGGACTTCTCTCGAGTGATTTCTTGCCACCTTCCTTGTATTCTTCCTTTTTTCTTTTAATAAAATTTTATTTTACTACCGAAAGAAACACAGTCAAGAATCCTAATTATCTGATATCCATAGCCAATACTGGTGGAAGGGCTCCCTATGAAGTGCAGGTAATGCCTTGTCACCTGCTAGGTTGTAATCCTTTTTACTTTTAATGAATTTTATCTTTTGTCTTCAAAAAAAAATACTGGTGGAAGGGCTGATCCCTGGAAACAATATATTGGGTTGTTCTCCATGCTGCATCTAGCAAGACTATCCAATGCATTAGCTGAATCACTCCAGAGTGCATCTAGCAGGATTTTTCTCCATGCTGCTTTGTAGTGGTCTGTAGTCGTCTGTTGTCTGCTTTGTTTTCTGTTTTCTGCTTTTGTTTGCTGGGTGTACTCCCTCTGGGTTGTTTTTGTTTTCTGTTAATGAATCATCTTTTCTACCAAAAAAAAGTCACCCAAATCTGGGGATGCAGCAATCAAAATCCTTCAATCGGGCCACTCATCCAGCCAATAAACACCTATGAATCCACTTCAACCTCATACTAATAACGATTTCAATTGTTGATTTGTTGATCAAAGGGGAAAAAGAACAAAGAAATACATTTATAAATTTTATCACCAGCCTCATAATTTATGATAGCCACAAGAAGGGTCAAATCCACCCTTAGGTTTAACTTAAAATAGACAATAAATTAACAATTAACAACTATCTTAGATTATCTGCATGCATGAAGGGGAAAAAGAAGACAAATACCAGTAATAGAATAATAATGCCCAAAATGCAAGACAATGTAAACTATGAACTGGAAAATCAAACAAACAAGAGATTAACAAGAAATAAGATAATGGATAAAGAAAAAGAAAGCATACCGCAACATGCGAAGGGATAAATTGCAAAACATCAATAATCTGTAAGCAATGGATCTTAATCAGCCTTAAAGCTAAACAGCATAAAAACAAAAATAGAAAGGACCAAAAATGATTCTGCAGAAGGAAAAAAGAGACTCATTTATTTTCTTAATCTAGCATATTTTAGTGAAAAGAAAAGAACAAACCATGCAGAAGTCCAGTTGGTCAATAACCAATGACCAATCAATTGCAGATGATCAAATGTAGAACCAACTGACTACTGTGTTCATCTACATAAACAAATTTCCAGAGATGGCAGCTCTCAGTTAAAGGGTCCAGTGGCTCAATTTGAAGGTCAAATCCATGGCATGTCATGATGCCATTAGTGTATTACAAAATACTTTTAAAGTATCATAAAATAGTACAAAGGTGTATCTTATGGCAGGAATAGGGGACAATGTTCCATTTTAGAATCCACACATAAAGACAAAAAAAAGATAAGAGAGATCAGGATAGAATTGTACAATGACTACAGACAAAGAAGCATTCATTCATGTTTTTCCACAGGAAAATAAGACTTGTTGATATAATTTATATATTTCAACCAATGAAACACAGCTGGAGGTCAATTACTCCCTATTACGGGTGATCAACCCCAAGCCTTCTTTGATGATTAATCCAACTACTTGCTCCCTTGCATAATCAATCACCCCCTATTATGGGTACAGTCCAGCTCTCAAAACACCAAATTTAACTGTATTATTCATTAAGGATATGTGTGGTAGAACTCTATGATAATAGGAGAAGGAAGAATTTTAATCCACACATTTTGGTCAGATTTTATTATGCTATATTCTTGGTGTATTTTTTTTATCAGCAAAGAAAGATCAATTTTATTAATGAGTGAGAAAACAAGTACCGAATTACAATACAACCAAGTTATCAACAAATCCACAAAAATTACAATAGTGTCCAAAACAACAGCTGCCTATAGACCCCCTGCTTGGCTAATGAGTCGGCTATTCCATTTGCAGTCCTTCTGATCCAAGTGAAAGAAGCATTGAGTTCCACAAAAATATTCTTGGTGTAATATTTTCTAAGAAATATATATTCTTGGTCCAATCTAACTTGTTTTAAGAACATTTTGATGAACTTTGCACAGATTTGTATAACACATATAAAGACATTGCTTCACCAAAAATTAAGAAAGAAAAGACATAACTTACAAGAGACAAAGCTGTGAAAATGGTTAAGACCCAATCTCCATTACCATCAGCATCTGATAGATGACCATGATGCAATTTTGCTTTTCTCAATCACAGAGGAAAAAAACATTGTCCAGAAATAAGGAACAGAAAAGCATCAGTGGAAAAAGAGGACAGAAAGGGACATTGACACAATAAGCACAACTTCAAGAGTTAAAGCAAAGAACAACAAAAAAAATAAAGAAATAATAGTTCAGATATCATTATAAGCAAGAGAAAATTAGCATAAGATGAAAGAAATTAAAAAAAAAAAGAATGTTTTCCTTGATACATTGAGATGTTTTTTTCTTGATGAATAACAATTATGTCTCTTAATAAATTATCATGTAGATGGTGATTACAGCTTTGAAAAGGTCACCCATTTCTGACCCTAATTTAATCAAAGTGGACATTCTGACAATTAATGGCAGATAGTTAGGACAAAAGCAGTACTGATTTATGTTTTATTCAGGACCCTAATGAAACTGAAACAAAAAATAGAATTTGGATTCCAAAAATTGACCAAGACTTAACAGTAAACCAACTTTCATTTAAGTCCATTGGAATTTGGTTATTTACCCTCTAACCAAAAGGTCCAAAACCACTTTAGGGTTTGTAAGAATCTCGAGATTGCAAAATAAGCAAAACTTTAACTCCAACTAGCCATGTTTTTGCAACAACACACACATGTATAAACTCTCTAGGGTCAGTCAAACTACTCCTAAACAAAGAAAACTCAAAATTATGATTCTACTAGTGAACTTCTATTCAAAGAAAAAATAACTGCTAATCTACTTAAGCAATGATTCCAAAAACAAGACTATGACCAGACAAGACGAATTAGCAGGCCAGATCCCATTGAGAATTTGGGAAAAAGACCAAAATACCCCCATTGTCCAGAATAACAAAAATAAATAAAATTATATATATGACCACTTGACTCCTGCATCACACAGAATCTATGATAGCTTAATCTCCTTCTCCCCTCCCCACTGACTCTTCTGCATCTCCCATTTCCTTAGCCCCTATCCCCCAAGTCACTTCGTCCTCTTGACTGCAATTCCTTTCTTCTTCAGCTCTGTTTTCAACCCTTCTTGGTACAACCTCATTCATCCTTCTATTGCTCTCCTCTTCTGCTCCCGCCATTTTTTCTCCCCAATCATCTCCTTTTATCCTTTCCAACTCTTCTCCCTCACCGTCAGTGATGTTCACTAACACTGTCCTCCTCCTGAGTTGTCATTGGAACCTTCTTTTTGGGGAAGAAAATTGTCGTTCTTCAAACGAAACCTTCAGCATCGCAAGTGCCTTCTTCTGTGACCACCTTCTCTGTTGAATCCTCTTCAACCTCTGGGACCCCTGATCTATCTACAGGGCTCCTAGTTTCTCCCAACGTTTCTTTTCTCGGCTCAAGAGTTTTATGTTTTTCTAACTGTGCAACCTCATAAGCCTCTTGGACTGACCCACCTTCAAAATTGGGCCCACCTCTCAACTCATTTCTAAAGGATTTAAAACTCCTGGGCCCTCTATTAAAATCCTGCTTAGTATTTAAACATTTCTGGCCAAGGAATTCTTCCTCAGTTATGTCCACGTGCTCCCCAAGTTGGTCATGTGTAGATACAATGAAAACCGACCCAGCCAGATGTGACGGCTTTTCTTTTTCTCGACACACCTGTTCGTCTTCTTTTCCTTTTCCAATCTCCTTATTCCCAATGTCATCAATACAATTCAGTCTTGATTTTTTAATTCCCAACATCTCTTTGCTCTCTCCCTTCTCCCTGTCGGCTTCCAATCTCCTTGTGCCATGTGGAGAGGACCATAATGTGGGAAGAATGCATAGATATTAGAGCATTCTAAGATGGACCATGTTGTTTGGGTGAAAATTTTGGAATGTGTGATTTCTGACTGCCCTCTGAGTTACTTGGGACTACCTTTAAGGGATAATCCAAGAAATAACAGTTTTTGGAATCCAGTGGTGGACAGATTCACTAAGAAGCTAACTTTATGGAAGAAAAATTACTTATCTTTGGGTGGTAGGATCACATTGATTAAGTTTACCTTGACCAACTTTCCTGTGTATTTTTTATTTGTCTTTAGAATCCTAAGAGCAAGTAGAAGATTGGAAAAGTTGATGAGAGATTTTTTGTGGGAACCAGGGGAAGAAGAAAAGGATCATAGAGTTGGATGGGAGGTGGTTACTAGAAGTAAGAAGTGGGAGACTCCTTAAGGCAGAAGTTTTTGCTTTACTCCAAGGTCTCAAATTAGCAAAGCAATGGGGAATGCAACAGTTAGAAGTGGAGGTAGACTCCAAACTGGTTGCAAACTAGAAGCTATGGCACCTGGCAATTCAGACAACAGCTAAGAGAAATCTCAAGCTTAGCAAGGGAGATTGAGGTGAGGTTTAATTGGGCAAGAAGACCAGCAAATGGTATGGCTGATGATTTAGCTAAGCAAGGAATCAATAGGCAGGAGTTGTTTCGGGCTTGTTTATGAAAGTACTTTTGTTAAAGGGTTCTCCATCCGGCCCTTGGATGGTGACAGTTGTAATCTTTATCCATTATTTTTAATGAAAGTTACCATTTCCCATCAAAAAAATGGGTTGAAAATTTGTAATCGTGAGATTGTATGAGAGGATGTCAAACCCAAAGGTTAACTAGAGAAAGAGCTTGGTAGCAGGGGTAAATGTAGGGGAGGAAGAGTTAAGAGTCGATGGCGATAACCTTGGGGTATGCTCAGTGTGAGTGGCCAATGAACCATCTAGGACTCCCCTTAGGTGCCAACCTAGAACCAATAGCTTTTGGAGCCTTGTAATGGAGTAGGTGAAGAAGAGACTGGTAGTGTGGAAGAGAAAATATATCTCCCTTGGAGGTAGGATTAACCTAATTAAATCAACCCTACCTAGCATCCTAGTGTATTATTGTCAATGTTCAAGATGTCACAAAAAGTGGTTAGAAGAGTTGAGAAATTGAAGAGGCATTTCCATTTAGAACCAAGGAAGGGTAAGAAGGACCACCTAGTAAGATGGGAAATAATGAGTCAAAGGAAAGAGGAGGGAGAATTGGGGGGATGGGAAACATAAGCAAGAAGAACTCAGCCCTTCTTGGGAAATAGTCGTGGAGGTTTCCGGTGGAGCATAGTAGTCAAGGAGATGCTTCGGCGGACCACCTAGGCGACAAGGCACCCTTAGAGGCTCACATCGCCTAATCACCAAGCAGTTGTATATGTTGTGTTATAAAATACTTTTATATTCTTAAGTTTTTTAGATTATAATTATAAAATAAACATTGTTAAAATAAAATACTCATTTTGTGTTTATATACTAATTTCTTTTTATTATTTTCTTATTTGTTATGGTTTAATCAACACAAACGTTGCTAACTGCTGTATTGAACCCTCAAAAACTTCAAAACCTGAACCAATAAGTAAGGAAGAACTTAAAATTTTGTCTAACAACACAGTTTCTTCTTCCACATCTTCATCTTCTTCTTCTTTCATCTTTTCTTTTCTTCTTTCCCTATAACCAAAATAGGGATTCAGCTCCTATACTTTTTTTCTGAATTTTCTTTTTCTTCTCATGAATATGTTGATCTTCTATACTTTACATGAAGTTATACTTTTCTTATGAAAATTATGGATAATTATTAAGGAAATATGGTTATGGAATTTAAGGAACTACCCTAGGATATATGTTTTTTACTTAGAAAAATCCATCGCCTAGGGAACTAGGCGACCAAGCGCCCCCTGTCACCTAGCCTCACCTTGGCGCCTTGAAAACTACTATGCAGTGGAGAATGAAAAATTAAGGCATAAGGTTGTGGCTAGCATAAACAAGCTCTCATAAAATGGGTGGAATGCAGTTTTATTGAATAGAGCTACTATTGCTTCTCCTTGGAAAGCAATCGATAGTACCCTTCCTTTGTTTCACACTCATGTTAGGTATGATCTTTCCTCTAGCAACAAGATTATATTTTGGGAAGACCTACGGGTTGGGGAGTCTCCTTAAAAAGATGTGTTTCCTTCTCCTTACTCACTGTCCAACCTTAAATTCAAACCTATTGCTCATTTTGTTCAACCCTGATGCAGTAGGGTTGCAATAAACTGACACAAGTTGGAAGGAGAGAAGTATAGAGAGAGGGAAAGAGAGGAGAAAGAGTAGAGAAAGAGAAAAGATGAACAAATCCCAAAGAATCACTCAAATGGGTCCTAGAACCACTCTAGGTTTGTAGGAATCACTCCATACAGCAAACTTGCAAGAGAACTCCAAAGAAATCTTCATTAGCTTCAAAAGGAAGAGAATACATTTATTCATACAGTGGTTAATGTGGCTCAGCATACTGTTCATCATAATTACAAAAATGTCATTCCTTGTTCATAAAGAAACACAATAACTTTTTACCTACTAATACAAATAAACTGAAAATTTAAGAGAAGCATTACTAAACTAGAGGAAGAAGATGCTATGGCCCAAGCCCACATGGAACTGATCAAAATGGCAAAAATATCCCTACTGCCCAAAAATAGAGAAATACATAAATTTCCAGAAAATTCCAGATTTGATTCTTCAGCTCCTACATTAAACCCTCTCCTTTGGCCTTTGGTTTTTATTGGAACTTGGGTTTCCAAAGAAATCTTTGGGAGTCTGGAATTTATTCTATTTTGGACCTTTCTGAATTTATTAGATGGAGTGGTTCTTAATACTACTGAGGAAAATCGTCAGTTATTGATTCCTAACTCAGACGATAACTTCCCTTGTGGTTCCGTAGGTCCTTTCTTAAGCCCTTGTTAGTCAATCCATCCTTTGAGGCTTTCTCAGTGAAGGAAGTATGGTCTACTCCTATCCCCCTTAAAGTTAGTGCTTTTCTCTAGGAAGTGCTCCATGGTAGTATTAATACTTGCAATTTATTGCAAAGAAAGAAACGAAACTGGGCTTTATCTCCTAAGTAGTGTATCATGTGCAGACTGAATGGAGGCACTGCTTATCACTGACTAAAACCCTACCCTTTTTTCTACTGCATTAGGGAATGGTTTCTTGCTCTTTTTGGATCTAGGTGGAATCCCCTTGTTAGATTGGACAAATTGTCTGAAGCAACAATGATTAGATGCACAAAAAGAAGAGGCAGAATCTTGTGGAAATGCACAAGAGCGGCAATGCTTTGGACACTGTGGGAGGAAAGGAATGCAAGAATTTTTCGAGGAGAAAGAAAGAAATAGGGGACAATAATTGAGACTATAACATTGAGGATGGCACATTGGATGAAGACATTAGATCTTTTATGCAAATACTACAGTGCATGATCTTGTTACAAACTGGAGGGTAAATTGTGATTCATCATCTAAGAAACAAAAGACTAGAAAGGAGTGATCACCACCAGGAGGAGGGTGGATGAAATTGAACATTGATGGTTGTAGCTTGGGTAATCCTAGGCCTTTTGGAATTGGAGATGTAATAAAGTATGAAAACGGAACCATAAGGGCATTGTATTCAGCTCCAATTGCTGAGAGAGGTTCAGTTAGGGCAGAAGTAATGGCAGCAGTTTGTGGGGTGCAGAAGGCTAAAAAAGTGGGAGTGGAAAGGCTGGTTATTGAAGGTGACTCCGAAATGGTGATCGGTTGGCTATCAAAGAATGAGAGTGCAGCGTGGAGCTTTAGAAATGAAGTCAGAAAATTTAAATGGTATTCAAGAAACTTGCTGGTTGAAACTCAATGGGTACAAAGGTAGGCAAATAGTTTGGCTTGCATTTTGGGGGAAGGGATGAAACAGCAGGGAGTCTAGGGACTATGCTTACGCTAATTCACATCTTATTGTACTTGGTCTTATGTGTGTGTGTGTATATATATATGTATGTATATTCTATCTTATTTATGTGTTAATATATGTATATATATATATGTATGTGTGTGTGTGTATATATATATGTATGTATATTCTATCTTATTTATGTGTTAATATATGTATATATATATATGTATGTGTGTGTGTGTATATATATGTATGTATATATATACATACATGTAAATGTATACACACACACATACATATATATATACATATATTAACGCATAAATAAGATAGAACATACCTAAAAGATTTATCAAAAAAAAAAAAAAAAACATACCTAGAAGCTTGTAGTAAGCTCTATACATGATTGATGTGCCATCAATGAGCATCACCCGACCATTCGAAGAATTAAAACTGACATCTTCACTTTCGTTACACTTGGCTGAATCATCAACTACATCTACATGTGTTGGTCTGACATTGGATGACATCCCTATGGTATGAGAAGTTGAATGAACTGTTCCAGATAAGTCTGACTCCAAACCATTTGAAAATTTAGAGTAAACCTGATAAAAGACCACCAGGTTAAACATTTATAAATACTCTATTCAGCATATCCTAGCAGATCTTCCACAAAACAGAGAATATAGACACTTCTTCCAAAAAATAAACATAAAGAACTATTAAATGTTGAAACCATTGGAACTAAAATTTCAACATTGTGGTGCAGCTCATGCACATGACAAAAGCAAGATAAAAACCATGAGGAGATAGCAGGAGCAAACTGCTAGATCATATGTAATACTTATATCAACTACTGCAGACTAGCATCGCTGGGTGATTGCCTTGGACCCAAGTCCCATTTGCATCTTTCAGTTACTGATCTTGCTAAAACCACGCTAACTTAGTGGCAATACCAATTATTATGGTAAAATGCATCCTGTAACTGGGTATGAACCTATTTTGTTGAACAATATGTCCAGGACTCCAAGGTTCAAAAAGACAATTTCCATTTTTCTTCCCTTGTCTTAATATTGTAATTGCATACCTACACTAATTGCTAATGCACTCCAGATCATTGAACTTTAGATCTCTTTAACATGTTCTTGTCCAGCCATGCCTCCACCCTGCCCTATTCCCAAGCAAAACTGGATTAGAATAGGATCAGGTTCAATATCAAACCCAACCTATTGTCATCCCTACCCCTAATGTTTGTGACATAAGGAAATCATTCAAAAACAATTGGAAGCAAATGAAGACCTCTATGTTTCTAAATATACAAGTGTGCCTATAATTTAACCAAGGGAAGAGATGCAGGGTAAGGATTTATTTTTCTTTCACTACTTTTTAGATAGATGTCAATATTTAAGTTGTACCTTTCTATGCACAATAGATGAATATGGATGAAACCAACTTTGTAGCTGGTAATTGTACATGCATCCAACCCTCTGAGTAGCCAACAAGTTCCATCTAAAGCAATAAAGATTCCGCCATATGAAGTGAAGATGATGATGTGAAGACCAAGAGCATGCCATAGTCATATCATCCCACGTTGAGTTTTTAATACCTCAGGAACAATCTGAATAAAACAAGAAGAAAAGCATTTTCCTGAAATTTTCAAGGCAACATTAGAAAAAAATACCAATAATATAGACTGAATTAGATGCCTGTATGCATGTCTAAGAACATAAAAACCAAGGAATTAAATATCGGTTCCATTATATGTTTGAAATGCATGGAAACCAAAACATTATTGGAACACTTTGCCAGAATTTTGAGAATTCCGATTAAAAAAAACAAAAAGAAGAAGAAGAAGAAGAAGGTGCCTTTATATTTTCTCTCTTTATTTTCTTGGTCTTCTCTTTTATCTAACCACTTGCTATATCTTTTCATCACCATATCTAGATCGTTGTTAAGATCTCTAAATATATTAAATTCAAACCATATTTCATTCTAATTAGCACCCAAACCAGAGTAAAGGTTAACATTTTTTTTCCAGTTTCAACAAAATTTGAAACCTTGACAAGAAAAGATCAAATTTAAAGCTTAGTCACAACCAAGTTTGAATTTTTATGTAAACTACCTACAATGATAAGAACCTAATTTGTATTCACAGGTGGAACTCAAGAGAACATTAAGGCAATCATAAGTTAAAACATCACTGCACTCTTCATGAGAAAACCACTAGTAATACATTAAGATACGTTTTAATAAGGAATTATGAAACAAGGAAACAAAGAAAAATATTAGTACTGAAACTGATACAAGGTACATTTTACATTTTTCTTTCTTTGTCAGTAATTGATAAAAGGTACATTGAAACATTAGATCGCCAAAGAAATGACTTAAAGCACTCATAAGTTAACAATGGATATGGCACAAAACAGAATGGAATGATGAAACAGGATTCATGTAGCCAACCCCATATAGTTGGGATGAGGCTTAGATGATGATGATGATGATGATGTGCATTAGATCACTAGAACACTCTTCTCACCTTGTTGATGGAGAAAGTAATCCTGGTACAGCTGGTAGATCCTTGTAACCAATGTTCGAAGTATCTATACACCACTGTGTAGTGGCAGAGGTGTATGGGTACTTAACCGATACGTGATTAAAACCAGATGAATCAATATAGAAATGGTATGCCTCAATCCCAGCCCTAAAAACCCATATAGAAATGGTAAAAAAAAATGGATGAATCAATAAACCCCGATTAAAAGGATGATTAAAACCAGATGCTTTGAGATGATCAAATAGAAAATAAGGGAAGGAAACCAGTGTTAGCTTTCAGTTAGATGAAACTCACAGTTGAGAGGGTGTAATGTTAAGTCGACACTCGACACTGCAGTAGTCGTTAGACTGGAGAATGGGGGTGGGGTTACTCGGTGGAGAAGAATTCTCGTTGAGAGGAACGAATAGGGCTGAGTTCGGGACCCGAACTCAAAAATATTGTTAAGGGAAACATTTTTAATGTTAAAAGATTTTGAGAAATTTTCACTTTTGTATCCTGAATTTTGAGGGTAACGTTAAGTTAGTATCCGCACTTTTAAACGTGTCACTGTAGTCACTGTAGTATTCAAACTTTCAAAAACTCTCACTTTGGTCCCTAACCATTAACCGGCATTAACAAGCAAGTGGAATGACACAAGTACCCGTAGCGGTCCGCAGAAGAGAGAAAATCCTTTTCTTAAATGTCAAAAGTACCCCTCTTTAAACCCTTTTTGGTTGAGACGGACAACCATTGTTCACAACAAACACAGAGCTCCTGTTCGAAGCTGTGGTCGCCGCCGACGAGTGTTTCATGGAAAGCGTTGTTGGAGAGAAATAGTGTGTTCAGTCGTCGCTGATGATAAAGGGTTACTGGAACCCGTAGTCTACGATTTTCTTTTTGGTTATTTATGAAATACTTACCGTAAGAAACTAGTTCAATGCCGCCACCGTCGATGGAGAAGACAAACGGAGCTTGCCGTCACCGAAGAAGAATGGTAACTTCAGACCTTGGGACCTTAGATAGATCATTCCTCTGGTGTTCAATGAACCAAAAAGAAATTTGCTTCCCAATGGGTGGTATTTGAGATGATCAAATAAAAGGGTTAAATCACCTGTAACATGATCCTCCTATCCATCATTTAAATAAAGATAAAATACAAAAATCTTCTCTCAAGTTTCTGACAATCATGAAAACCTCTCGTATAGTTTCCTTTTACTAAAATCCTCTCTGAATTTTTAAATAACTTTGACAAAAACCTTCTTTTCATCAACGACCCAAACGGAAAACGTCAATATTTACGAAATTACCCCTAAAGCATCATTAAACCCTATCTATTGCAGCGGCATTATTGCTCATTATATTCCATTCTCGGAATATTTCATCCATTTTTTCTAGCAACTGTTCTTCACACCAGAAGTTATTCCTGACCGACAGGTGTTCTCATCTTTCCGTTTTGAAGCTCATGTTTTTGGCAACTAATTCTTCACAGCGGTTTTCTTATCTGACGCCTTCCAAGGAAAATATTAACATCTAATGCCCTTACAGGGGATGGAGATGTCCATCAGATTTAGATATCTATTAGAGTTTAAAATCCAAGAGTGATGCCTTCTATCTTCATGATTCTTTTAATGATATTTGCAGGTTATGGATATATCCATTATGATTGCAATGCAGTCATATTAATTCAAATCCATCAGGGTTGTACACGTTAATGGTAGAGACATTTCCGAACTCGCCCTGTATCTCTTGCCCAATTTGTCTGGTACCCCAACACTTAACTATACGACTTGTTTTCAAAATACCACAAGAAAACCCTCGCCTTGACATAATGGAGAGAAAACCTTCACCTGCCTCTGGTGTCGAAAAATTGTTTCTCTCCCCTCTGCAACACTTGACAACTCTGGTTTTGTCCACCAACGCGCAGATGTGGTCATCGCCCACCGTGACATCTTCAACTTGAGTGCATCGTTGTAGTAGACCCTCCGTTTGGATACAAAGTCCCAATTCTTCAACTGTTCCCTCCAGACCTCAGCCTGCAAAAGAAATTATGACCACCAGATATTGTTGTGAAAGATGCGTTCTGCCCGATAGAGATATTGGCATCTCCATTAAAGCATTAATTCTCTGTGTAGGTTCTCTGGTTTGAAGATTTTTTATAAGAAAAACGCTCTGTAAAAACATCGTATATCATTCAACAGGTTTTTCGTATGTGTTTGAATGATAGATTGAAAGAGTTGAATTCCTCCTCTTCAGACGGTGGAGTTCAAGAATAGGAGAAAGAGGAGAGGAAAATGGGTATTTCAAAAAAATGATGCATCGGTTTACCGTTTTCCGTCTGGGTCATTGATGGAACGGAGGTTTTTGTCGAATTATTTAAAAATTCAGTGGAGGTTTTTGCTTAAGTGAAACTATAGGGGAGATTTTTATGATTGTCAGAAACTATAGTGGAGGTTTTGTATTTTACCCTTTAAATAATCTAGGGAGAGTGGAGTTGTATTTTTGAAAAGGGAAAATTCCCGATAGGTACCCTGTACTTTAGGCCGAGTGCCAATTTAGTACTCAAACTTTAAAATGCGACAATCTAGTATCCAAACTTTCGAAATGCGACAATCTAGTACTTGTTGTTAAGCAGTCGTTAAGTGTCACAGGAAAAGACACAAATGCCCTTCAAGAATCATCTAATTTTCTTTGTCAACCATCTGTTAATAGGTGACCCAGGTGTTCCATTACTGGTTGATAAAGCAACAATTGTGTAAGAAATTCCCTTCAAGCAATCCCCGGTCTTCCTTTTTCTTTCTTCGCTATTCATTACCCTTTCCAATAAGAAACAGAGGAGTTGTAGCAGTGAAACTCCTCTAGTACTCTCATTTAACTAACCCCTTTTGGCACAAACCCAATCAATACCCAACCCCATTCTACTCCACATCGATCCCCCTTAGTATTCCACTGTCTTCAAGCTCTCTTATCCCATCGGCCCCATCTTGTATAGCTTCAGCATTCAGACAGGAAAGATCGACGTAGTGGCCATACAGATCTCACTAGTTGAAGAAACTCAATCCTACATCTCACCTTGCTCCCGTGAGGTTATATCTGCTCAGAGGTAAATGGCTCGAAGCAAAAACTGGTTGAACCTCCTCTATTTTTTCTGTATACATCATCCATGGAATAGATTTGGTCGTAGCAGTTGTTGCTGGAGCTCCCTTTCATAACCAACTAGCATAGCTCACACTTAGCATTTCTACCCCTGTTCAAAGACAAATAGAATGCGCCAAAAATCCAGTCGGAGCTTTCTCCTTTGATTCTTTCATTTTCTTTCTCCTATATTTCACACTGCTATTGGAGCTTGAGGGAGGGAGAGAGAGTCAATAGAGTTGGCGAGGGGATTTCCCCATACCAGCTCCGGTAAGCTCTCTGCATCGACTCAGCTCTGTAACAGCCTATTTCTCATGGTGTGGGTCATTGACTTGGAGGTTGGATGTCGTCCAAGCTGGTTTAACTTAATGTGTATTTCCTCCATGCATAGAGTCCCTTGACCACAAGCATCTGTTATCACAACACTCTGTAGCATCAGATGGTTGACAATTATCTATAGCCATCTTAAGCGGTTATCTATAATGTGTTAAGCGCCTATTATCACAGGTAGTTAAGCGTTGATCATCTTAAGCGATGGTTAAGCATCTGTAATGTTGCAGACGTTTGCAATCATCCTTAAGATGGTCATCTGCAACACTACATGCGCTTAACACACATTATTGAATTGAATGACAAAGGGAGGGATGAATGATTTGTTCACACATTACAAATAATCGCCGTCTGTAATGTTGCAGATGGTTAACCATCGCTTACACATTACAGATAATCGTTGTCTGTAATGACAAAGGGAGGGATGAAGCATATGTTCTCACAACACTCCGAAGCATCAAATGGATGGATGGCTGGCGCTTAACCATCGGTAAAAGCTAACTTGATAGCCTAAAAGCCTTTACCGATTAAAAGAGGAAGTTACCACAAAGGAGATATCCTCTCATGTGGCTCCATCTCATCTTCTCCCTCTTTTCGGGTGTGGGAAACTCTTATAGGAGCAAAGGGACAGTTGTCTATACAACCATCCCCTCTTTATCCAAAGCTTCCTTATGGAGGGTGATTTGGCCCGACCTCATAATGAGGGGACACGTGGACATGACTCGATATAAGTGACAGCTCAGCATAACGAGCTCGCTATAACCCAGCCTGACAGCTCGCCATGAATGGCAGCTCGCTACAATACTCTGTTGCCCCGAGCTAAGATTCTCCCAAGTAGGGAGCATCCCGAACTGAAGACAGTTCGGGTTAAGCTCGTCAGCTCCTTAACTAGAACAAGCTCAAATGCAGCAAGTCCAACAGCTCCAACTGTATCAGTAACAAGCACTGCACCATGTTTGTCAACAGCAGTACCAGCAGCAGTTCCCACTATTGCCTTTGAACCAGCAGCCGGTTCCACCTCGGCATCCGACCACACAGCAAGCTATGCTTCTCCGTCGGAGCGAACTCCCCTCTCGCCAGGGAGAGACCTCTCAGACCCAGAATCCTCCTAGGAGCCAAGTCTTGTCCTGCGGCAGGAGGGATAAACTAGTTACTCCCACCTCACCGCACATGGTCAGATCGGGAGATTCTCAACCTAACAGATCCGCATCACCTCGACATTTAGAGTTTGAGATCCCGCTTGTAGAAAACCGGTTCGAGGTCCTGGCCACAGACTCTAGACAAGGTCCCTCAATCCACAGCCATCGCCAGCAGTCCGAGCCACTCCCCGCGAGAACTGTGCCTGACAACACAGAGGCCAACAGCACCAATGCAGAGCCGACAAAGAAGCAACAGAGACGTCATAGAGCTTGCCGAGCTACAGACCTGAACTTGCCCAAACTCTTCAAAGGGAAGGAAGAAGCGAGTTCGGGAGCAGTGAAAGCCACTCCGCTCCTCTCTGTGCCATCTCCCCTGTCTCCCGAACTCCTAGCCGTCCCGATGCCAAAAGATTTCAAGGTACCTCCCCTGGACAAGTATGATGGATCATTCGATCCGAATGATCATGTAGATTCTTTTTAGTCCTAGATGCACTTAGCCGGGGCAGGTGAGTCCTGCATGTGTGTAGCTTTCTCTACTACATTTAAGGGGGTAGCTCGCACATGGTATAGAAACCTCGCGCCCGGGACAATCAAGAGTTGGGCGTAGTTCGTGCAGATTTTCACCTCACACTTTATCACCAGCAAGAGGTGTTTAAGGTCCCGAGAAAGCCTTCTCGGCATAGTCCAGAGGGAGGGGGAATCTATCCGCAGTTACATCAAGAGATTCAATGATGCATGTCTGTAGATACCTGATTTAAACCCCGTAGTGAGGCTCATAGCAGCCAAAAGAGGCATAACACACAAAGAGTTCAAGTGGCACGTGGTTGCCAACAAGCCCAAGGACGTAACCGAATTCCTCAAGCTCGCGGACCAGTTCATCGGAACAGAGGAGGAGATGAGCCAGAAGAACGAGAACCCACCAGAGAAGAGGAAAA